AGGACATATCCTACAATACAGGGCAGGGCAGGACACATTCTACAGGACAGCTCAGGGCAGGACATATCCTACAATACAGGGCAGGGCAGGACACATTCTACAGGACAGCTCAGGGCAGGACATATCCTACAATACAGGGCAGGGCAGGACACATTCTACAGGACAGCTCAGGGCAGGACATATCCTACAATACAGGGCAGGGCAGGACACATTCTACAGGACAGCTCAGGGCAGGACATATCCTACAATACAGGGCAGGGCAGGACACATTCTACAGGACAGCTCAGGGCAGGACATATCCTACAATACAGGGCAGGGCAGGACACATTCTACAGGACAGCTCAGGGCAGGACATATCCTACAATACAGGGCAGGGCAGGACACATTCTACAGGACAGCTCAGGGCAGGACATATCCTACAATACAGGGCAGGGCAGGACACATTCTACAGGACAGCTCAGGGCAGCTGCACAACCTGCAGGTGACAGGATGCTCTTCCCTTCCTACGTACTTCTAGACACTGACCTGAGGGAATGGATGCTGGTTGAGTAGGGTAAGCACTGGAGGGTGGTCAGGTTACTGCGCAGCAGCAGCAGCAGAAAGGGGCCATAACAATGGGAGCTGCCTCTCATTCCATGCTCATGAAGGTGCAGAAAAGTCTTCTTTTAGAAGCTATGGGATGCCCCAGTCAGACAAGGGTTAAACAAAATTAAATCTCCCTGGACCACATTGGATTTTCTTCCTAGGATCAGTTGCTTCTTTGTCTCCAGGCCACCCCCAGGCAGCCTGGGCCTCTTCCCAGGACTGAAGCTGCTTGTGTGCATTTCTGTGGAGATGCTGATGCTACTTATCCCCTGGGCCCCCTGGATCTTTTCAGCACTCCAGCCCCCTCAGAGATTGGCTCCATTCCTGCCTGCCCCAAGTAGCTCTGAACTTTTTTCAAAGAAGTACCCCTGTCAGCTCTTCTCTGGGCTCCCTGCCTTGCTCTCTTGGCTCCCTCCTTTCAACAAGCGAAATCTTCATCTTATTATCTGACTTCTGAGGGAACTGGGCCTTTCTTCCCTCTGAACATCCATCAAACAAAATAGAACATGAATTAAGTGAGTCTCTTCCAACACCAAAGCAGCTGTGCTCTGTGAAAGAGGGGCTAGGACTTCTGGCCGGCCAGCCATGCTGAGCAGATGGGAAAGAGCTGTGCCTCCCAGTCTCACCTCTCTCCAAATCTGGGAGCTGGGGTGGCTGGAAAAAATAGAACCAAAAAGAAACTCAAAGCCACAGCTAAGCCCAAGGTTAAGAGAGAAGTCCTTGTGTTGGACTGACAGAGGAAATTCCACATCAAGATGACATCATGTCAGAAGGAAAACAGCTCGTGATATTATGATCATCTTGACTGGGGCTGAGTATTGAGCTTAAACCGCCGAGGAGTCTTGGCCTCAGACCTTGTGTAGCAGAGCTGAACTGTCACAGAGAGGTGGGGATCTCCAGGGCTGGTGCATCTATGATGTGGAAATCGAGAGAACGTCAGTCTTGCCTATTGGCAAGGAAAGACTAGTGTCCACATATCAAGGACTCAGTACCCTCAGCCAATGGGCAGGCTTGGATTCTATTGTGTCCATCCAAGCTTAAACAAAACAAAACATAAAAGGCGGCCAAAGCTGCTAAAACTTGGAGTAGCTGGCAGATGCCTTTAGAGAAGCAACTCTCCCAGACAGGTCTATGATCAAGGCTACAAGAGAATGCTATGGAGAACAAGTCACAATCAAAGAAAAAAGTCACAGTCCAAGCTGGAACCACCATAAGGGATCATCATCAGGCATGGCAGATAAAAGAATTCTTACTCTTGATTATATATATATATATATATATATATATATATATATATATATATGAATGATACTTTGAGAAGTTTATGAAGACTGGCAAGCTAAGCAATAGTGTAGAGACCACCTCGAATGCCCATTCCTGATAATGAACTTGATGTCTATAGCCATCCTGGAGCCTTCACCCAGTGACTGATGGAAGCAGAGGCAAACACCCACAGTTAAACACTGAACTGAACCCAAGGAACCCAGTGACAGAGAGAGGAGCGATGAGCAAATTGGCAAAGAATGGGCTGGCAAAACCAGCAGAGACAGCTGATCTGAACAGGGGAGAGCTCTTGGACACCAGACCGACAGCTGGGAGGCCAGCATGGGACTGATCCAGACCCCCCGAATGTGAGAGTCAGTGAGGAGGCCTGGGCAACTTATGGGGTCCTGGGCAGTGGATAAGTGTTTATCCCTGGCGTACAAACAGACTTCGTGTGTCCATAACACAAAGAGGGATGCTCTCCTCAGCCTGGACTCTTAGGGGAGTGTCTGGACCCTGCCCTGAGTGAAATGAAAGACTCTAGATATCCCCTATGTGGAAGGAAGTGAAGATAGGGTGGGAGGCTGGGGGGGATGCGGGAGGAGGGGAGGGAGAGGGAACTGGGATTGACATGTGAAACAAGCTATTTAAAATTAAAATAATAAAAAATTTTTAAAAAGAAGTTTATGAAGGAGGCTAGAGAGATGGCCCACCATTTAAAATTACTTACTACTCTTCCAGAGACTAGAGTTCAATTCCCAAGACTCACATCACACAGCTCACAACTGTCTGTGACTCCAGCTCCAAGGGGATCCCACAGTTTGGGCCTCCATGGGCATCAACACTCATGTTCATGTACCCCCACCCAGATATACATAAACACAAATGATTTTTGAAAATTGTAAATTTAGCTGCAGGCCTAGCTTAATGATAGAGCACAGGTTAGGCTCTGGGTTCAATCTCCAGCACTGTAATAAGTTAAATATTAAAATGTTAAAAAAAGAATAGATACCAGGACCATAAGAACAATGCAACACAAAAAAAGATATAGTTATCAAGGGAACATATGGAATAAAACAATAAATCTCAAATGTTAAACATTCAACATAAAGGGTGAATCACAGCTTTTTCAAGATCAAAGAGAGAATTAGTCAGATTTTTAAAAAGTTGGAACTGAAGTAAAATCTAGAGTATAACTTGAGACAAAGAGTTGAAAACATGAAGTAAAGCTAGGGAGTGAGCAGGACAGAGTGAGGAAGGTGGGTGCATATTAAATAAGAGCCATGAAAGGAAAGAAAAGTGAAAGACAAAATGCTTAGAACAAACAGCTACCAACCCAGTTCTATACCCAGCTCAACTATCATGTAAGAGTGACTGTAAAATGAAGATGTTTTAAGACATTTGCGGAGTGGGATTACTGCTCTCAGATTTATCTCGAAAACATGGTGGTTTAAATAAGAATGACCCCAATAACTCATATATGTGAATGCTTAGTCATCAGGGTGTGGAGCTCTTTGAAAAGATTAGAAGGTCTTGGAGGATGTGTGTCACTTTGGGTAGACTTTGAGGTTTCAAAAACCCATGCCAGGTCCAGTCTCCCCCCCCCACCTCTCTCTCTCTTTCAGCTACTTCTACAGCACCATGTCTGCCTGCATGCCACCATGTCCCCTGCCATGATGATAATGGACTAAACTGTTGAAACTGTAAGCCAGCCACAATTAAATGTTTCTTTTTGTAAGAGTTGCCTTGGCCGTGAGGTTTCTCCACATCAATAGAACAGTGACCACAACAAAAATAATGAAACTGCTTTTAAACACTATTAGTGGCATTACAGGTGCTTTATCTGGCCTGGTGGTAAGGTCTCTCCTCATGGCTACACAGGAGGTAAGGCAGGAGGGGCAGAAGTGAGACCTGCTTGGCCAACTTAATGAATCCATCTCAAAGCAAGATCAAATAGAGGGATGGCACAGTTAAGAGCTGAGATGTTCCTCAGAGGGCTGCATTCCGGTCCCAGCACCCACATGGCCGCCCACAACCACCTGTAACTCCAGTTCCAGAGGACCCTCTGTCCCCTCTGACCTCATTGACACCAGACACACCTGTAGTACTCAGACATAAATGTGGCAAAATATACATTCACATTAAAATAAGTAAAATAAAGTGGAATACGTAAATAAACATAAAATGCAACTAAGATATTGTTTTGTGGGAAGTATTTTTTAAGAGTTACTATTTTATAGGCTAGTAAATATTAAATATTCATGTGGCTCAGTTTAACAGAGAGAGGGAAGCTTCCCAGATTTGCCAGGGACATACCAATCCTAACACATTATGAAGACTTTGAATAGCTCAGGGAAAGGTAGAAGTAAGTCATGTCAGATTTTAAGTACACATTCTAAATGTTAAGGATATATAGTACAGGAAAAATGCTTGTAAGAATAGAATGTATAGATGAGGGACTGAGCAGGGCAAAGAGACCTATGCACAGGCTGGGGTGTTCTGTCCTGGCTGAGGAGGAAGCATGGGCCCACCTGGTACCTCGTGGCGTCAGGCAGAAGGGCATTATTATAGTGAGCAGATGTATGGTGGGGTGTGGGTGGGGGGGGGACAGAGACAGAGACAGAGAGAGACAGAGATAGAGACAGAGAGTAGTTCTTTTCCCGTGGGTGGAGCCAGATCTGAAGAGGTGACAGTGATGAAGAGGCCTGAGGTGGGCGACTTGATTGCTACCCAGGGCTGCTACTGGGATCCGTGTCTGTGTTCATGGCTCTCATGCAGCCATGGTCTGTGTTGATGTCTGTGGCTCCTGATACTAGTGAAGGTCAGGGAAAATGGCTGCTCAGAGTTGGCCCCACCCCTCACTGGCTGCAACACTAGGGAGAACTAGTCCCACCTCCTGCTGGCTGAAACACTCAGGAGAGAGGTCTTACACCACACAGTAGAGCTGATCCTGGTCAACGGGGCATGGGTGAGCTGGTCCTGAGGGTGTGAGAATGGGAGAGCAGGCCACTCCCTTCTTGTCTGCCATGTGGTGGTATGGGTGAGGGAAAGATGCCCTCTTCCCCTTGCCTCTTGACACCTGTAGCAGCTGAGAGACCTGACCCAACTCCTTGCCATATACAGCACTCAGGAGAATGGGCTCTGCACCTTACCTGGACAGCACAGTAGAGTTGACCCCGTAGACAGCGGCAAGGGTGAACCACCCTGAGTAAGTGAGAGGGGCCTAGCTGGTACCACCTCCCTAGTCTTCGCTGTGGTAGTGGGGGCGAGGGAAAGACTCCCTTCTCCCTTGCCCCTACCACCTCCAGCTGCCGAGGGAGCTGGCCCTCCCCTTTACCAGCTGAAACTCTCCAGAAGTGGGCCCTGCACTTCATCTGGGCAGCACAGTGGAGCTGACCGTGTAGGCAGAGGAGCAGGTAAGCTGTGAGCATGGGGTAGCTGGTCATACCCTCCTCCTCTGCCTGTGGTGGTGATGGAGAGGAAAAGAAGCCCCTCCCCCCTTGCCCCTGCCACCTGTGGCGGGGGAGGGAGCTGAGCCTCTCCCAGACCAGCTGCAGCACCTGGGAAAGTGGGTCTCACATGGGCAGCCCAGCATAGCTAATCCTATCAATGGGGATGCAGGTGAGCCGACCCTGAGGATGTGAGCATGGGGGATCTGGCCCCAGACCTCACCTGCCATATGGTGGTGTGGGTGGGGGGAGGGGTGCCCCTCCCCCACCTCTCAATGTCTGTGGCAGGTGGGAGAGCTGGCCCTGAGGTCATAAGAGCAGGAAAGCTGTCCCTACCCTTCACCAGCTGCAGCACTGGGTGGAGAGGCCCCTACACCTTCCTGGACAACACAGTAGAGCTGGCCCTGGGGGTGTAGGTGAGGGAGAGCTGACCCTGAGGGTGTGGAAGCAGGAGAACTGGCCCCACCCCTTACTCATCGCTGCAAAGGGTGAACCAGCCTGGGCAAAGCTGAAGAGCTCACCCTGGTGGTGAAGACAGGGGAACCTGGTGGGTTGACCAACCCTGCAACTGCCAAGGCGCAGAACCCAACATCCACCCCACCTGTGATCAGTGAGAACATGCGAAGGAGCCGGTCCTGCAGACCCAAAGCTGCAGGGTCTCCACGACACAGGGCAGCAACAGAATAACCAAGAGAAATCCCAGGGAGGGTCCAACATCGATAGTGTAATAAAAACCAGGAACCAGAAATCTTGACTCAGACCAATGACTCTTTGCAATGAACACTTTCAAGTAAAGATATATGGATATCATGAAGTGTTTACTTCATGATCCACTGTGTCACACTGCAGCTTCCAGGATGAGATCCCCCCCTTTCCCTTTCTTCCTTTTAAATTCTTATTGGGGGGATGGATTGCAAGAGCTAGGATAGATATGAAGGGACAGGGAAACGAACGGGATGGAGACGCATGGTGTAAAAGACACAAAGAATAAATAAAAAAAGTTTAAAAAGAAAAGAATGTGTAATTACCTACCCAGTTAAAGAAAAAAATAAATTAAAGAACTTCAAGTTAGGTCACCCAGCAATAGGGAAGAGGAATAAAAGGAAGACAGGGTTTCATGAGCTGGCTTCCGGTTTGTAATCAAGACTTGAGCTGTTGATTCATGGCTCAGCCACATGTACCGGTCCTCTATTCTGAGCTTCATTTTCCTCAGCTATAAACTGGAAGAAGTAAAATTCAGCAGGGCACTTATGAGCACCGCATGGTATAATAGACAACCCGATACACACATAGGGGCGGCTGTGACATAATTGGTACTCAGTGAATGCCAGTGCTCTGTCCCATCTTGCTGTTCGGTGCTCCTTTCGGTGTCACCAACCCTAACCGAACAGGAGGGCTGTCTCCGTCCTAATGATGGCTGGATCACTCAAGCTCGGTCTTCATTCGGTGTTTGTGCATGGTCAGGATGGCAGCAGCTGTCATGCCATATGACAGCCTGGCCTGCCGGTCTTCGTCAGAGGACCTGAGTTGTGTCTCTGTACTTTGGAGGCTGCACGGTATTGGGAAAGCATTTTCAGAACCCGAGATTTCTCATATGTAAAATGGATTAACAGTGCCTCTCTTTGTCCTAGTGTCTCTCCATCAGGGTTCATTACAAGATGGAAGAGCAGTGCACTACAAGAGGCTATCATGTTAATTCCCATTGCTGTCGCTGTGGCACGATCCCTGGGAGGAGCCATTTAAAGGAGGGAGAAGTGGCTCCTGTCTTCAGAGAGCCCAGTCCGTGGCTGGCCGGATCCATTGTTCCCAGGTTGTGGTGAGGCAGAAGATCACGGCAGAAGGACATAGAGGAAGAAAAGTGTTGCCTCGTGGTAGACAGAAAGCCTAGAGGGAGATAGGAAGACATCAGGGACAGAAACCTATCTCCTAACCTGTCTCCATGTGAACCTCAACTCCCCAAGTGGTGACACCCTCTGGGGACCCAGCTCTCAAGACTGTAGCCTCTTGGGCAACACTCCTATCCAAGACAGGACAGTGGGCAGAGAACAGGAAGCCACTGCCCTCAGGTCAGGTCCACAGCACTGGCTCTTGCAGTCAGGCTCACTACTTGCTGACTCACTGGGAATGGACACTCATGCCCATCTGTTTATTCATTCAATCTTACGGCCTGCTTTTGTGAAGCATCTACTGTGTACGGGACACTCAAAGGATCAGCCGGCAAGATGGCTCAGTGGAGAAGGGTGCTTGCTGCCAAACCTGACAACCTGAGTTTTGATGGCCAGAACCCTCATGGTGGAAGGAGAGAACGATTTCCTACAAGTAGTCCTCTGGTTTCCATACAGGTGCACACTACAGCACCATGCCCCACCCCCAACAAATAAATAAACAAAAATAGATGGTTTTCCTTTTTTTTTTTTAAAAAAAAAAAGCTGAATGGCTTGCGACACCACCAGGTATAAGAATAGCATTGAAAAGTTTATTTAAAAATATCAGTACACAAGTTATCTTCAGGGAAGCATACTATTCATTGTACTGGCTCTCAGATCTCATAAAAGGTATTAGAACTCCCCGAATAGATGGGTCATCCTGCCGGAAACCCCTCCTCTCTGTCTGACAGATGTTACACAAATGGGACTGGGTTTATTTACTCCTAATGGGACATAATGAGTACCTCATATTAACACTCGTGAGACCCTTGGCAGAAATGGACGAGAGAAGAAGACAGACAGACACAAATAATGGGCAAAAGTCTGGATCCAAAAAGAGGAAACTCTGTTGCTGGTCACCTGCAAACCAGTTAGAGAGCAGGCCAGACAAGGCACACGTGTGTGCATGCATGCAGGTGTGCAAGTGTGCCTATAGGGTTTTCTTAGAAGTGGCCTATTTTTACCCTCTGCAGGGAGTCTCTAGGGGCAGCTTGGTGGTTGTGTTCGACCCTGCTTCTGAACAGCACAGAGCATCTTTCTTGGCACATGGTCTCATTTGCTTCCAGAGTAGCTTCGGAATTTAAGAGCAACAGGCAAATTCCCTCCCACCTGCATGCATGAGAAATGAGCTAAGCCCAGAAAACCCATTTGTTTTGCCTGATGTAGTGTAGCCAGGACTTCAAACCTGGGCTGCCACCTTCCTGATCCTGGCTCTTTGCATTCCTGCTCACTTTGAGTTGAGGAATACTGTGTCAGCTCAGGAAATAGTTCTGTTCCCTTAGAGGGAGAAGCGGGAAGCAAAAGCACATCCATGGGCCAAGTCTGACGTTGTTTTCATGGAAGGTGACAAAGCCCTTACTGGTGCTGACAGGGCAGTGGTTAGATTCAGCCACTGTAGGAGGAGAATGGTCCTTGGGCCATGTTTCTGGGATTCTGGATCATAGAACAAGAACATGTGACTTTTAGGGCAATCTCTGGAGTCCCCTCTCTTCTTTCTGGAACTTTCCCATTTCAATGGGAAACCTTCGCATTGAAATATTCTCTCTCTCTGTCTCCCCTCCCCTTTCTCAGGATTCATGAAAACGTGTTTCCTTCTCATCGTGTGGACCTGAGAGAGTACCCAGAGAAGAAACCAAACAACAACAATTCAGTGGCTTCCTGTCCTGTCTGCTACACCAGAGGGGAGGGAGTCCCAGGCCCGCACTCTCACATGCTCCAATGCTCAGCAGGAATAACCAAGCAGACCTTCTCTGATGGGAGACTCAAATGAGAGAATAGACAGGAAAGAGGCAAGAAAGCGTAGCCAGCTATCCGGTCTTGCCAGCACAGGTTAGCAGCCATTATCGTTGCAATAAATCCTTGGTTCCCAGAAGCTTTCTGCTAACCAGACTCCTCTGGGACTCCTTCTTTCAAGGCAAATGGTTTTGAATCAAGCTGATATGGGGAATTTATCTCACGATGAAGTAATGTCTGTCCTGTGCAATGTGTTCAAGTCCCAACACCTTCCCTTGCCATATCAGCATTATTACCTTGAGATGTGGTCTTCTGGAAACATCTTGGGACTCATTAATGTCTCTGCTCGTCAGAAACAGCATGTACCAGGTTTACCAAGCTGTGCTTGGGGTGGGGAAAGAGCAGTTGGACCTTCCAGGAAGATATTTAACAAGAGTTTTTAAAATAAAGCATAGTTACTTAGAAAGCTCAATTTACCGAACAATTCATTCATGAGCTTTATGGTCGGTTGTGCTGCCCTGTTACCTCTGAAAGCTTTCCAATCAAGTTTGTTGAATTGGATTGAGGTCATGAACCTTGTCTTCTCACTCAATAGGCTGGAGAAGGATGACAGATGAAGCCCGGCCAGGAGGGCCCACCAGTTTGTCCTGGGAGCCAGCTGAGGAGTCCCGTCTGTCATTGGCAAGGTCATAGTGGGAATTCTAGGACCTCCAAACTTGCCAATACAGGAGAAACTGTGCACCAAGGAAACATCCACAGATTTATTGCTAGGTGTGATGATGACAGGTGTCTATCTCCCCCCCCCCCCCCTTTAGACATTTATATTTGGCTATGAGAGACATGGTGCTATCATTTGGGCATAGATTTAAAGCATATACAGCATCTTATATAACAGCACCCTAATTTCACAGAGCATTGTCACCCAATCAATTAGGGTCATAAACGAGCCTCTCCTGGATATTGCACTTATCTCTCAGACCAGTTGCCTCAGATAAAGGGGGGTGCAGGGGAGATTTGTGAACATGAACTTATCACTGTACTATTTTTGTATTAAAGTGAACTTTTGTATAAGACACCATCACAATGGGACCCTGTGAGTCCCTGATGATTGTGTTGGCAGAGGAGACCCACTCAGATAAAGAAAGTGTCTACATACGGAATATGTGAGGGTTCCCAGTAAGACACGGCCCTGACCTTTGCAAGAAGGAACTCAAAGGTCTGGTTCCCAAAGTCACTGTGCCTCTTTCTGGGCCTCAGTGTTGTCTTCTGCTTTTGGTAAACTGGGCACTCAGCTGCTGTGACTGGCAGAGAAGCCTTGGAGAAACCATTTTTACCACTGCGGCCACTTTATACACAGACCCATGGACCAAACAGCTGGTAGCCGGGGGAGGAACTGACCATAGCAACAAGCTTTCTTTTGGGAAGCTTCCTGTGAAGTGGGTGTTCTCCACTGGACCAGCAATATCCTCATGTTCTTCACCTATCCCAAGAATTGCAACCACACAGTCTCCCTGAGAGCTCTGGTATCATATTAATCTACAACGGCTCATCTTTCCATGCTGCTAAGCTGCTACCCACAACACTGAATAATCTGTGTGTAAACCCACCTTCCTTTCCGAGCAAATCAGTTATTTTGTCCAGGTTCCTCCCAAGCCCCACACTGAGAGGCTGTTCTCTGTTACTACTTTTTAGAGCCATCTCCAAGTACAATTGTGCACATTGGCTGGTGTCAGGATTCAAATAAGACTATTCTAGAAACCAGGCCTACAGGTTTTCCCCTTTCAGTTGAATGATCAGGGTTTGGGGGTGGGAAATTCCCATGAGGGCTGAGGAAGAGGTGGTGAAATGGGGAAAATACAGTCTTGGCTAACTTGCCTGTGACTCCCAGAACTGCATTGAGTCAGTTTCATATAGAAAAGCTCAGTCAACTATGAGATGCCACTGCACATGCCTGACTTTATGACTCGATGAATGAGATCACACCTATTCATGGTCACTGTAGCTCACAGAACCACTTGGACAAAGGTTTGTGGTTTTATTTTAAGTGTCTAGATACTTAAATACCATCAGATCTGCTGGGTCATTAGACTGAAATTGCAGAGTCGCCTGTACTGCAGCCCGAGCTTGATATGCAGTTCTCACTTGTTTTGATACTTACCGTCATATGACCACCTCTTGGGTTACTGAGCAAATTGGCCAGGATGGAACACCCAGACATTTCTTCCAAAATCAAAGAGGTCAGGGGACAATCAGCACTTTTCCTTGTGATGCACGGTACAAAGTAGACTTTTTTTGTTTGTTTGTTTGTTTTTTTGGTTTCATGAGACAGGATTTCTCTGTATTGTTTTGGAGGCTGTCGGTCCAGCCCCGCCTCCAACTCACAGAGATCTGCCTGAGTGCTGGGATTAAAGGCATGCGCCACCACCGCCCAGCCAAAGTAGATTGGTTTAACTTCAATACTGGAAGGGCTGTCCCCGCCGTGCTCTACATTTTATGGGGTTATTATTCCCCCCCCCTTTGTTAAACCTTTCACACAAGGGATTTTGTTCACAGGTTTATCTGACATAATTCAATCAACATAAATGGCCATCATGAAGACCTGTGATATACCAAGGTCCCTTTGAGCTATATTGTGATAGCAAGTAGAGGAACTGATGTAACCCTGAAGGCCATGAGGGTATACTCCTGTCTCAGCCAGGTGAAGGCAAAGTGTTTTTGACTGTTCTTACTAATTAAGATAGAGCAAATTGTTTTTGCAGTTCATAGTGCTGTAGCAGATAAAACAACTAGGCCAGTAGAACTACATACATAGTCATTCCCTATGACTTGTATGGTTGTTTTGTTTTTGTTTTTCAAGGCATGGTCTCTCTGTGTAGCCCTGGTTGTCCTGAAACTCAATTTGTAGACCAGGCTGGCCTCAAACTCAGAGCTCCACCTGCCTCTCTGCCTCTGCCTCCTGAGTGTGGGGATTAAAGGTGTGTGCCACCGCAGTCCTGCTTTTGCTCCTGATCAAGTAGGTGTTAAACAGAGATACTTTTGGAGCCACCATTTTCATCTTCCAAGGCCTCCATGGTGACTCTAACTTAGGTTGAATTCTAGAGATTGTGATATTGCTTCTGGTTTCTTCTTTTGGCAGGTGGGTAAATGAACAATGGCTGCCTCCCAGAGGCCTCCTCTTGGCCTTTCTTACCCTGAGAGTTGTCCTGTGACTACAATAGGATTCTTCCATTTGCCACTTACGACCTATCAGGTTCCTCTTTCAAGAACTGGGGAAGCAGACACAGGCTTGGTCCATGGTCTTGTTGGACTACTTCTAGACAGCCCCAGTGGGATCCCGAATAGCTCCAGGTCTTTGTGAGCCCTCACTCAGGCTGGTGGATCCCAGTGCTTTGTTTTGTTATCTTCCCACCTGTGTAGGTTAGCATCAGTTCAGTTAGGATCCAATAGCCTCTGCCAAGCCTGGACATTTCCGTTCTCTTGTGTCCAGTCATCCTAGCAAGTGGCCTTCTAGCTTCTTCTGTGGAGACTTGGAAAGAATTTACAGAATTCACTCATCACATTCCAGGGTTTTCCCAAAAGGAACCCGGCTTCTCAGTCAAAGGATTTCAAGTTAGTGAGCCATTTGGACACAGAGAACTCACAAGAAGTTAAGGATTCCCTACAATAGCTATAATTTCCCCAATTATATAGGTCTGTGCTACCTAACTGATCACCTGTGATGCCTACTGATCACCTGCATTGTGGCCAGTCCCAATGAGATGTGCTTACATGAAATATACACACTGAATTTAAAGACAGAACCATGTAAAATATCTCAATGTGTGTATTAACTTCCCACTAAAATAATACTTCAGACATAACAAGTTAAACATGTTGCTAAAATTGTTATCACGCGTTTTCCTTTACTTTTCTAGCATGGTTACTAGAAAATTTAAATTCATCAGTGTAGCTCATAGTATATTTCTGTTGGACTGATGATATACCTTAGCCAACTAATAGCATAATCTTACATGGAACAAAACAATTTGGTATTCCCCCTTCTGGCTTAAAGGCACTGAACCCACTGACTCTGACAGTCAGGAGCTATCACCAGCTGTCACTGTGGGTTCCTATCTCCATCATTAGTATCAGCAGCCCCAATTCACTGGCAATATCTCCCACTGTCACCTCTGGTTTGGAGAGAATAGCCAAGTATGCTAGTGTTCTTCTTGATAGCATTTAAACTGCTTTTATGAGGGGAGGGGAGTGTTGTCTGGATCTTGCTGGAGGCAATTAACAAGTTACACAGAACAGGTGCATTACATTTGCCCATCACACTAAGCTTCTGTGATGTGCTAAGGAAGCTGTGGCACACCCAGCCCCATTAGATACAGAGCACTTCGACAACAAGGTTTAATTACTCAACCAGGCAAGCTATTAGAGCCATTCCTGGCCACTTAATGACTATATTACATCCTGGATCCCAGGTGAATCCACTCATGTTGACAAATTGATTCTGTCCAACTATATATTTCATCCTTCTTGGTGCAATGTGTAGGAAATAAATAGTTAATATTTATTCCCATACATGTGTGGAATTTCCAGTCAATAAAAATAAAAGGTGCTACAATTCCTTCTTTTGGCAAGGGCTTACCATGTTCCCCTGAGTTGTAACTCATTATGAACCTGAAGGTAATTAAAATAAGCAGTACTGACCTACAGGGCTGTATATTCTCCGCCCCCCCCCTCTCTCTGTGTGTGTGTGTGTGTGTGTGTGTGTGTGTGTGTACATGTGTGTGGAGATTGGAGGACAACTTAGAGGAGTAAGTTCTGTCCTTCCACCATGTAGGTTCCAGATACAGAGTTCCAGTCATCAGGTTTGTTGTCAAGCATCCTTACCCACTAAGATACCTTAGTGGCCTAATATGTAGCCTCTTTAGAGGTCACCCTTGTATGTGGAACTGCTGTCTCTGGTGAGGGAGATTTGTGGTGATTAGGGCTCTGAGCAGTTCTGTTTCCTTGGTGTCTCTCCAAATGTAGTCATTCTACCCTCAGATATCTCCTCCTTCACAATGCATGCCTTAACATTAGTGTAGAGACTTTATGAGCTGCATTTAACCCACTGTAACTCAGGGCTCTTCGGAAGCCTCCTTGGAAACCTTCTGGTTCTACACCCAAGTATTGAGTTGGACATCCGAGGCTCAGAGGCTCAAAGCCCACTCATCCCCCTCCCTCCAGCACAATCAAAAAGAACCAGTCCACTCTGCAGTTGCAATTACTGCTTCTGCATTTACTACAGTTGCTACAGCAACCAACTGACCTAGTCACTTAAAAATCTAGACTTCCACTCCATATCAACACTGGTAATAATTTGAGCATAATCTTAATGCTATTTTGTGCCACACCAGTGTCCCAATTCCCTCAGCAATTATGCCATTTATGTCTTTGGGATGTGAATAAGAGACCTGGTGGCACAATACCATTTTGAAGGTTGTTTCTTAGGACATCATTCCTGTCACCAGCTATTGAATTAAAAGGAGTCTCAGCAGGAAGCAGCATCTACACTGAGTTGTGTAGAGAAAGACATCTTAATGATGAGCTATGGCAGAGACGTGAACAAAATTGGGGACAAGAAATAATGTCTCCAAACAGGAAGTAAGAATGGGAATTATGGAGGAGGACTATGTAATGAGAGCTGCAGTATGGGAGGGTCACAGCCATTGCCAGGGGTGTGGCAAGGGTGAGGAAGGGGCGGGGAGGAAATCTCCAGCTCCCTTGTCAAACTCACTGGAAGCCAAGAGGCAAAAAGAGCCCAGTGGTAGGTCTAAAACATGAATGGCTGTCCCAGGCCTCATGCAGGGTGAATCAGATTTCAGATGAGCTTCTGGAGGAGGGCAACGGGAAAGCCGCGAGCCTTCCAGACAGTGCACTTGCATGCACAGTCTCCTTCAAGCCCTCAAACTCAGTGTCGACGTGGTATGCTCTACTACCATCTTAATACACCTAACAAGGAGCGGGCTCAGACATCGGCTTGCTCCGGATCATAGAACTGGACACCCCAGGTCTGCAACTTGACCTGTGCAGTTTGAACTTGATTTCACACTAAGTGATATTTGTTCAGCTTCGGTACAGAGTTGAGTTTGAGGAGAGAATGGGCGGAGGGTGACAGGGGGTTGAGGCCAAAGTATGGAAGACATGATAGCTGACCCAAGAAACTCATTAGCTCCCTTTTCTTTTCCTCAAGCACAGGCAAGGATCATGTCTGCTCCCGCTTGCTTAAGGCCTGGAAGAATTAAAAAACCAAGGACTCAGGAGGTTGGGAATAGAGCCAGCCTTTTCCTGAGTGTGGGGAACACGGTAATATGGGCTTCTCATTAGCACCCCCTTTTCTGTGCATTTAGGCTGTACTGAGCCCCCCACATCTTTATTTTATTTCATGGATGTGAGTGCCTTGCCTTCACATGCAGGCCTCTCGTTGTAAAGGTCGGAAGAGGCCATCAGAACCCCTGGAACTGGAATTACAGATGACTTTAAGTCCCCACATGCATGCTGGGAACTGAACACAGGTCCTCCGAAAGAGCAAGCCACCTCTCCATCCAGGGCTCTTTCACTCCTCACCACCATGACTTCTGGGTAGAGCCCTTCAGCCAATCAGCAAACAGCATTCTACTAATGACAGAGGTGGGCATATGACCAAAGTCAGACTAAAAGGAACCAACAAATCAACTCCTCATATGTCATCAGGAGACTAAGGACCTGAAAAGACATCAGGGCACACCTTTTATTTGACTAGTTTTCTTCCAATGGAGTCTAGACTGAAGCAGTGTCCACGAAAGGCAGACTAAGAGATGACCATAGTCTCAGCCTGGCAGCACTTGAGCCCTAATCTGGCTACACCCAACATGAGCAGTCCTCTGGATTTTGTGTTACATAAACCGCAGATTTGCTTTCTTTGCCTCAGACAGATCTCTGTCTTCTGTAATCACAGGCAGATGTGTGGAAGAGAGGGACCAGCTCATCTTTCTTCAAAGCCTTTGTCCCAAAGATTCAGAAGCGTGGGGCAAAACCCCAGGGGAAGAAAGCTGAATGCGGGCAGAGGGTGAGGAACAGGAAAGATGTCCCCGACATCAGAGAGAAGATAAACGCTAGAATCAACACACGCCCCCACAGAGGTATATTTAGTAAACTTTTTCCTCACAGGGCTTGAAAGATCAAAATTGCTTTTTAAAAATAATAAAAAGGAAACAGCCACTGTGGTTTCTCTTGACACAAGCCCAATTTCTTGGCTGTCACAATACTTCCAAATAACATGTGTAAGGCTTTGCTGGGCTGTCTCTTTTGCCTTAAAACTCAAGAGGAAAAAAAGAAAACCAGAAAAGCCTGCAGTTCTCAATGCATGATGTGTGGCCAGAGGCTGCTGCATCTCTCTCACGCCTGGCTGGCTTAGGGGCCCGATGCTTCATGGCAACCATCTTTGGGCAGATGAGATGGGGTCTCAGAAAAGAGCCCAGGCTAGGACAGACCCCTGTAATTAGCTGGGACCCTCTGGTATCTGCCTGGTCCCCCCCAGAGGTGGGCACGGTGAGCCAAATTCCTTGCTGCCCTGAGACCCTCTTTGTCTCCCCTATTCCATGCTCCCCAGTGTATCTGCACTCTCTTGGGTATATTTTCTCTTCCAGCCCCCTGGGGAGTAAAAAAAAATGGTATCTTACATTCCAGGTTAGCGGTCATGTTTATAGTTTTGATCCCATTTTACATTTGGGATTTGGCTTTATTATTTTCTTTTCCTTATATACTTAAAGACTGTTAATTAACTTTGTGAAAAGTATAAATTTACATGTAATAAAATGTAGTCATTTTTGGCATTAGGAATGTTTTGGTAAGTGGGTACACCTGTGTGACCATCATTAACACACCATGCAGTTTTTCACCAGGAAAGCTGCTTCCTGTCACCAGTCCTCCTTGAATCACCCCTGTCCCAGAAGCCACTGCTACACATGGCAGATATGCTTCAGTCATAGTTGATTAGGGTATAATGGAATTTATACCAATGTAATCATATGATATATACTCACATATTTGGCTGCTTTCTCACGTGTCTTTGAAATCCAGCGTATTATGACTATTCCCATCTCACCTCTTCTATTGCAGAGCAGCATACCACTGTATAGATAGCTATGATGTCTTTACTCCCCTGCTGATGGACGTTTGGGTTGATTATACCCCCCAAGACCAGACAAAAGATAAACACTTGAAATAAATAAAGTTGATGTGAAAATATGTGAACACCTTCACTTCATTTCACGTGTCTCTATGTTAACTGAAACTTTTGAATGTATGGGAAATACATGGTTATTTTATGGAAATAGTCAAATTGGTTTCCTAGTGTGGCTGGATCATTTTGTTCTTATGCCAGTAATGAGAGTTCTAGTTGCTTCCTATCCCTACCAACACATGGTGCTGCCAGTAATTTTACCCTTTGCCATTTTCATGGATGTTGAGTGTGTCTCAACATAATGAATGGATTCTCGTTGTGGTTAACTGTGCCTTGCTGTGATAGATGGACTTTTATGGATGTTGGGTCTTGTGATAGATGGATATTGATAGATGAAGGGTGTGTTTCATTGTGGTGAATGGATTTTGATAGAGGTTAAGTATGTCTCATTGTGACTGACAGATTTTCATGAATGTCGAGTGTGTCTCATTGTGACAGATGGGTTCTGATGGATGTTGAGTGTGCCTCATTGTGATGGATGGGTTCTGATGGATGTTGGGTGTGTCTCATTGTGATGGATGGATTTTGATGGCTGCTAAGTGTGTCTCACTGTGGTTTTATTTTTCTTTCCCCATTACTAAAGGTCTAAGAATTTTTTTCATGAGCTTACTTACTGGTTGCTTGAATATTCTTTTGTTTTGTGGATGATCAAATATTTGCCCATCTTTTGTTTATTATTGAGTTGTAGTAGTGTTGTATATACATTTAAACACACAATTACATGAAAATATAATATGCAAATATGCTCAGTATAGGTCATGAATTTTTTTTTCTTAACAGTTTTACTTTTTTCGTTCCTTTTTGTTTTGTTGTTTGAGATCAGGTCTTACTCTGTAGTTTTGGCTGGGCTGTTACTTTCAGCGACCCTCCTGCCTCTCCCTCCCTAGTGTTAGAGTTTCAAGAACATATTTAATTACTTTTGATGTAGTCTAATTCACCTCTTCTTGAAGTTAACATCTGTTGGCTCTTTTCTGTTGTCTTATCAAATGCTCGAATTTCTCCAGTAACTTATAAAACTTAACCAGACAAAAATCCCTTTATTGAACCCCATAGCCCTCTCTAGTCATGTCTTTCTGGCCCCTTGCACAGCTAAGCAGCAGAAAAACCAAATGTCTTCATTTACTGTCCCTACATCTAAAACCTCGTTCTTTCTTTTACCTACTCCCACCACTCTTCTGTGACATCTCTGGGAGAGCAATGGACCCAGATGCAAAGTCAAGTTCTGATATCCAGGTGTCCAAAACTTTCCACATGGTTGGTTCGAAGCAGCATTGCTGGGAGTGAAGCTGAATGGAGACAGTGCTGTGTGGTTGAACGGCAGGGACTAAGGAAGCCGTCTGACCACCTTCTTATGTTCCAGTCTTGTTTCCCAATAACATCTTTTCATCATTGCCTAATAACTGTCACATTATGAGATGATTATTACCTCACAAACGTCTACTGAGACCGCAGTTACTGACGGACACATTCTGATGACAGAGACTGTCTCTACTCTGAGATGTATGACTTCCAAACCCCAACACTCCACTCTCTCCTCACAACCATCCGTAACCTCTACTTCCAGGGTATCTGCCTTCTCTTGGCCTCCTTGGCTACCAGACACACACACACACACACACACACACACACACACACACACACACACACACACACACACACAAAGCACCTGCACACATTAAATAATAAATAAATAATTTTAAAAGAGAAGTTCATGGTCTACTTGGTGAGGTGGTGAGCCATCTGTCAACACAGGAGATAAACAAGAATACCCTGAAACAGCTGCAGAAGGAGAGCCTCACTCTGGGGGAAGTACGTGAACATAGCATGAACATGTATGACAAGGGAAAAAGGGGTGGCTGTCACGCCATTCGTGGAGAACACTTCAGCTCACTTAGGGAGTGGGGGTAGCTGAGGGAACTTGTGGGAAGCACCCAGGACTGAATAACAGCACTGCCTTCGTGGTGCAAAAGTGCATACACATCTGCCCAGATCCTTCTCCTCTTTTAACAGAGGGCAGCACAGCCAGCCATACGGCTGAGCTACAGTTCCCAGCTTCCTTTACGGCTGAGCTACAGTTCCCAGCTTCCTTTACGGCTGAGCTACAGTTCCCAGCTTCCTTTACGGCTGAGCTACAGTTCCCAGCTTCCTTTGCTGTGAAGTGGGAACATGTGTCTACGCTATCCCAATGGAACATGAGCAGAAGCCATGTGTGGCCTTTCCAAATGAAAGCTTCTCAGCAAGTGAGCAGGCCTCCTCCATGCTATTCCTCTTTTTGGTAACTGGTTAGAGACAGCAACACACTCCCAAGGAAGGATGGAGCCAAGAGATGGAAGGAGTTCAGGCTCCTGAGTGATGCTGTAGGGCCGAGCCACTCTGCAAACCCAAGCACCTATACAGGAGCAACCAATGAGCAGATGTGTTAAACGGGAGAAAACTCGGGGTCATTTTTATTCTTGTAGCATAGCCTACTCTATGTAAATGCATGCAGATTAAGGTACATTTGTAGAAAGTTTATAAATTATACATACATGTAGAGCAAAGAAAATGGAGTAAAATACACCAAGCTGTTAATAATGGCGGTTATCTGTGGGTGGTAAAATTATGGGTGAATTTAATTTTCTTTGAACACGTCTGCCTTTTCCGGATTTGCTACAGTGAGCATGTGTTATTTTATATGCATGACAAATATAAATTCTCTAAATTCAGGTAGTTACACAGAGATAATGACAGGTTAAGAAAGAGCTTTATCACTAGGTGGCACGTAGAAAGTCTACTCACGTTGCAGACTCGAGGACAGAGAAAAGGGAAACGAGACAGTTGAGTCCCTCATTCTCCCAGGCTCACGGAGAGATCCGGCTAAGACACAGCTGTGGGTTGCAGGCATCACTTGCCTTGTAAAGGTCAGAGCACTTGTAGGGAATCACTTCTTCCTCTACAGGTGTTCTGGGGAATCAAACTCAGCCATCGGGCTTGGCTGCAAGCACCTTTACCCACCGAGCCATCTCACTGAGCCTGAGCACGCTTGTGAGAGCTGTGGAACCTTCAGGAGGTCAGGAGAGGCGGTGTCTGAAGGTTTCACGCAGCTCGATGCTCTTTGCTTCCTGGTAGACCTCCATGTGAACATGATTCTCCCAGTCTGGATGCCACAGGCCGAGCCAGCCCTGCAGCCAATGCCTCCACCTCATACTCTCACGATGGCCTGGTGACCTCTGAAACAATAAGCCAAATGCAGCTTTCCCCCCTCCTTCGAGGCGTTTCCGTCAGAGGTTTTGTCACTTGGATGAGAAAGGTAACTAACGCAGCTTCTCTTTATGTTTTCCTCACCTGACCATGTGACATACACTGAGAAACCTGGGGGTCAGATGGAAAAGGCAGTCAGGTGTACAAAAGCGGGACCCGGGAGAGACAGATGCAGCGTAAGCCGCCCGCCCCAGGGGCTTCCTGAAGCTTACTTCCTCTTGGGCTTCCACGAGAACTCAACCCCCTGCCTTTCTGCCTTTCTGCCCACGCGGTACTTGTCACCGCCCATCTTCTCGGCTCCTCCTAGGCCCCTCTTTAGGTGTCTTCTCACACCACCCTCTTCTGAAATGGTCTCGTCCTTACCAACACCCCTCTGTCTGTCCTTCGGGTTGGCTCCAAAGACTGATGGAGAACGGCCCGTGGGCCTCACAGCTGAGGTCATCCAGCCCTGCTGTGCCCAGCAGCCTCCTCACCACCTCACCATCCAGTTCCATGTCCGAAGCCCCCCAGGGCTGCCCTCTCTCCTCATGCCTCTTCTCCAGCAGGTGCCAAGGTTGTCACTCCAGGTGTGAAGTCACCCTTGGAAGGCACCTCATGAGTCCACCTCCAACGCCACGCCCTTTGCTTATGCCTCCTTGCCCTATGGGAACTTCCCTGACGGGTTCTTTCCTAGACTCTCGAGGGCCCCTATTTTCCACAGAGCCCCCAAAATGAGTCTCTTAAAAAAATTGTGAAATTATGAATAGTTCATATGCAGAAAAAGGCACTGGAAATAAATACAGTAAATATCTGCATTTCTGCCACCTGCGCATAACAAGTAGGAAGGATTCCTACCTGTCTTTTGCAACTAAATAGGTCTAAGGAGAGATTCTAAATTGCTGCTTTGACTAAAAAAAAAAAAAAACCTCAGTGGGACAAGTCTGGTGGTTCACCTATTAATACGAGCGCTTGGGAGGTAGAGACAGGAGGATTACTATGCGTTTGAGGTCAGCCTAGGCTGCACAGTGAGTTTGAGACAAGCCCCCCGGGCCATGTAGTGAAATCCTGTCTCTAAAACACCACGGAGAGGGGGTGGGGCTTCGGTGGGGCAGGGCGTGCCGCTCAGCGGTGGGGTGGGGCTCGTCGTGAGACCAGCGAAGGGTTTTCAAAGACTCAGTGGCCCTAAATTCGCTTAATATAACTTCCTCAGGGGCACTGGTGTCGACAGCCTGCACACTTAACTGATTCTCCAGGCCTCAGAGTATCACTTTTCTCATCAATGTGACCAAATAGCTGGCAACAAGCGACTTAACAAATATGGCAGGTTCACTTTGGCTCCGGGATTGAAGAGCTGTGTTCTATCGCAAGAAGGAAGGCGTGGTGGCAGCGGCGAGAGGCAGCTGGTCATATGGTGTCTCCCAGTCAGCCGCAAACCAAACAGGAAGTGGGGGCGGGGCCACCAAAGTGACCCACTTCCTCTAGTGAGCTTCTTCCTCCTAAAGGTTCCCCAACCTTCCCAAACAGCGCCACCAGCTGGAGACAAAGTGTCTAGCACACAGGGGGGCATTTCGCATTCAAACTGAACGCTCGTTTCCTGGTAAAACGGAGATAACGTCAGGGGCTGTTATACGAGTTACATGGCATGGCACCCAGCACATAGTCCACACGCTGGATTAATTAGTTTCTTCCTTAATAACCCTTTAAAAATTTATTCTTATGCAATTTCTTTCATACATACTTTGATCATATTCCTCCCCATTTTCCCGTATTATTCTCCTTCTCCCTCTCGCTGAACCACCTCCCATCGTGTCCTTCCTCCAGTTTCATGTAGTTTTTGTTTGATTGTTGGTGGATCCCCGCATTTAATCAGGGTTACTTGCCAGGACAAGGGTGTCGGGTTATTTACCCGAACACCAGCAAGCCTAAACGTTTACGACAGTGCCGGCTGCCCCTCAACTGTCCGTAAATCCTCAGGAGAGCTGGCTCTCGACGAGCCTCCCCGCCCCCGTGATGGATGGATGGGCTCATCCCTGTGCAGGCGAGGAAAGAAGGAAGCAGAGGGAGGGGACTTTCAAAGGAAAGCGAGAGGGAACGGAAAAGAAAATAGTAGTAGACTTTAAAGAACGACTGGGGAGATGAAAAGATGTTTAAATGGAGGGAAACAAAAGACGTGGAATGAAAGGGAGGAGGCTTTTTTTTTCTAGGACAAAAGAGTGCTTCCAGTTGAAAGTAACTCGAGTTAGTGCGGTAGTTCCGGCTGGGTTGGAATCCCAGGCGTGGCTGCGCTGGCACAGGACCAGCTCCACCAGGGGGCGGTGTGGCGCTCTTGCTCCCTCCGCCTGCAATCCACCTCCTCCCAGAAGATGGAGGGAAACACCGAAGGAGTTGATGTCACGTCCCTTGCTTAGAGTCTGCTACTTGTTATTTGAGGGATAAGACAGGCATCGAGCTTTTCGGAGATTAATTTTTGATTTATTGGTAGTAACAATGATTTATTCTGATACACCCCCAGGGCAAAGAAGGGGCCGTAAATATTTTAAATGCTGCTAGCTGGTGACAAGAAACATTGCTGGTTGGGGAGTAAGGCAGATGGGAATTTCAAATGCCTTCCCTAAATTACTTAAAGGCAGACTGTGAGAACTTGTTACCTTGTTAAGATCAAGGCTGGTGGGGGTTGGGGGAGGAACATTAAATTGTCTTATTAACTCACACAAAATCTGTTTTCTTTGCTGAATCTATGGGCTCTCCCTGTGATGGGACACGTCTGGATTTCCCAGCCTTTTCCCAGACTTCTGGGAGAGTGGACTGTATATGGGGACTAGTAACAAGAGCCACCCACCGGGTGGTCCTCTGATATAAGGACTCCAGGACCAAGGGCAAGGCAGGACATGGGGAACCCTCTGGACTAAGAAACTGACCCAGCTTCTGCGCCTGTTAACTGGATTGATCACCCTTACTGGTGCAGTGTAGTGTAGACTAAAGACTGAGTGTGATAATGATTTGACATATGTCCCCTCACCAGCCTCTGTCTCATCTGGTTCCATGCTGGGAAAAGACAGTTACTCCAGCCTCTCTCCTGCCTCTTATGCCAGTCCTGACTTTTAGAAAGAGATGGGGATACCCTCCTGCATGATTGCAGAGCTGCCTAGAGCACTGCACCACAGCCCACTTGGGCAATCAGATGCAAGCCCCTAGTGCATTGTGGGTGGCCTGTGTCAGCTCCCTGGGCACTCATGTAACCTGTATCACCCCTCTTGGGGCTGAGGCTAGGCCAAGGAGAGTCAGACACTCAGGGATGCTCCCACAATTTAAAAATCAAGATTTTTAAAGTCTTTTAAAAATCAATAAGTAGGAGTTTGAGAGAGGTGCTTGCTGTGAATCCCTGGGGCCTGCGTTTAAGTTCCTAGCACCCATGCAAAAGCCAGGTGTGGGGACTGGAGAGATGGTTGTGCAGTTAGGAGCATTTGCTGATCTTACAAAAGGACCAAAGTGTGGTTTCCAGTACCCATATGAGGCAGGTCACAGCCACCTGCAACTCCTGCTCCTAGGGATCTGACACTCTCATTTGGCTTCCCTGGGAACCAGCACACTCACGCAGACACTCATACAGATACACACATGTGCATATAAATAAAAATAAAATAACCTGCAGGGTGGTGGTGGCACAAACCTTTCATCCTGGCACTTAGGAGGCAGAGGCAGGCAGATCTCTGAGTTCAAGGCCAGCCTGGTCTACAGAGTGAGTTCCAGCACAGCCAGGGCTACACAGTGAAACCCTGTCTTGGCAAACCAAATCAATCGAAGAAAAACAGGTGTGACAACATACACTCATAACCCCAGTGCTGGGAGGTGGAGATAAAGGGTCCCTGGAGCTCACTGGAAGCCAGTCTAGTGCTCTCCCCTCACCGGCGCCGAGGAAGCCGGCCCTGAAGGACGGGTAGGAGACTTCTGGAAACACAGCGGCCACAGAGGTGTGAAGGCACAAGGCTTGTCTGGCCACTTGAGTGCAGCCTTTCTGAGTCTGATCAGGAGAGGAAACAGCAAAGAGGCCCAACACCTCCAGGCAAGAGGGGGCCTGGTTCCCCTGCTGGCCACCCTGGCCAACAGAGCTGTGCTGTTGGGGTGGAAGGCCGATGTCTTCTGATGGCCTCTGCTCTTCCTTCTTCAGGGAACTTTGCTCCCAGAGGTTTCTGGTTGTGTTTGGCTAAGGGAAGGGATCCCAGCAGAGAAGACTGAGGAAGGGGTAGTGAATCTTAGTCTCTCGCCACAGATTGCTTTTTCCCCCCTGAACTCACAGCTTTTCTCGAGCTCTCCGTGTACACTAACCTCTCTTTAAACACACAGGCAACGGCTCTCTCCTCCTGTCCTTTTAAGTTCAGAATGGCCATGGCCTCACCGCACCTGACCAATAACCCGCAGATCCTGCTACATTAGGGCGGTCTGTGACAACAGGAAGAGGAGGTGGACAGAGAGGTGACACTGGTCCTGTAGATGATTAGTCTGTGAATTGGTGTGTGCACCTGTGAACACTGAGAGGTCCTCCCACCTGCCACAGGCAAGCTGCAAACCCAGGAGAAAGCCAGGTGTGGTCTGACAGCCTGAGCCGGTGGTGTTGACTCCAGTATGAAGGCCTGAGAATCAGGAACGCCAAGGCAGAAGATGATGGATGCTGACCTGCTGTCTGTCTGACTGGCAGTTTATAAACAGCGTGGTGCTTATAGAATGCATGGTGCTGGCAGCTGACAAGGGCTTCTCCCAGCATCATATGAGAAGGAGAACATGTGTGAGACTGAGAAGAAGGGCGGGGTCAAACTTAACCATCAGGGACCTGATCCCACCATAACTGACCCCCAAGATCGGCCCCATGACCTGACCAACCCTTAAAGGTCTTGCATCCCTGTAGCCTTCCGCATGGATCTGGGAAGGGTTGTCTCAGCTCAGCAGTCAGGAAGACTCTGAACTCACCCTTCCTCCACGACTTTATTGCATTCAGGAGGGTCATTCACTATGGACTGACATTCCCCGACACCAAGGAGGGCCATCTGCAGTACTCCATCCACCAACCAGAGTGCTAACCTCTCCTGGAAATTTCCTTGCAGATATACTTAGAAATTATGTTTAGGACTGGAGAGATGGCTCAGGGGTTAAGAGCACTGTCTGCTCTTCCAGAGGACCCAGGTTCAATCCCCAACACCCACATGGCAGCTCCCAACTGTCTGTAACTTCAGGACCCAACACCCTCACATAAGCATACATTCAGGCAAAATACCAGTGCACACCAAATAAAAATAAATAAATATTTTTGTTGTTGTTTTTGTTTTTTGAGACAGGGTTGGCCTTGAACTCACAAGAGATCCACCTGCCTCTGCCTCCCAAGTGCTGGGATTCAGGGTGTGTACCACCACCACCTGGCCTAATTAATTATGTTTTAAAAATTATGTTTAACCATATATCTAACCATGTCTTGGCCTAGCCAGGTTAACAGAGTTATCCTCAGACCTGTCTCTGTCTTTATAACTAGCCCCTTTCCAGATCTTCTTCGAAGTCCCCACATTTGAGCTGCTGTGTTTCCTGCAGAGGTCTTAGACCACACTCACTCACTTGTTCCTGTATCAGCTGCTCACTGGACACCTCCTGTGGATTTAGACTGTGGATTTAGGAGTGAATGAAGCAAGTGTCCCTGCCCGCCATCCCCTGTGTTGTCTGGCTGATTCTTTTTTTTTTTTTAAAGATTTTATTTATTTATTATGAATACAACATCCTGCCTCCATGTATGTCTGCACACCAGAAGAGGGCACCAGATCTCATTATGGATGGTTGTGAGCCACCATGTGGTTGCTGGGAATTGAACTCAGGACCTCTAGAAGAGCAGTCGGTGCTCTTAACCTCTGAGCCATCTCTCCAGCCCTGTCTGGCTGATTCTATGGCACCTGTGTGCCTCTTATCTCTGACTGTCCAGAAGAACAGTGTGCCTGCTTCAGCTCCATGCCAGTCATGTTTGTAGCCTGAGCAAAGGCACCCCAGAAGGCTAGGGAGGCAGTGTTCCTGAGGCTGTTGGCAGTGACCCAGTTATGACCATGATGGCTCTGAGAAGCCAGCTCTGCACACCTGGACATGTCACTAACTCACCTTTCCTTGTTTTCAAGTGAAGGGGCTGGATTGGACAACGGTGGCCAGCTTGGAGAGTTCTGTATTGGTACTGCCAAAATCTGGGGTTAGAATATCAAGATGCTATCTAAAAGCATCCTGGACCTTCTACAAGGAGTTTGAAGGATGGGGGAAGTCTGGGTCCTCTGCATCGTGCTGAAGGATATCCTAAAACGACTATGTCATTTGCTTTTAGGAATCTGGAGGTGGAAGGGCCCCATGGGCCCTCCAGGGACCTCTAGTTCCTTCACACCTACTCCCAACCCCCATACCTGCCCTTTCTCCCAGGGGCATGTGTGTTCCCTGAAGGTGGAGGGCACAGAGAAGGCAGACTTGGAGCCCTCAACGTACCCAGTTAGGCC